GTTCACTTTGAAGTGTGTGTGTATAGTGTTCACTTTGAAGTGTGTGTGTGTAGTGTTCACTTTTGAAGTGTGTGTGTGTATGTGTTCACTTTGAAGTGTGTGTGTGTAGTGTTCACTTTGAAGTGTGTGTGTGTAGTGTTCTCTTTGAAGTGTGTGTGTAGTGTTCACTTTGAAGTGTGTGTGTGTAGTGTTCACTTTGAAGTGTGTGTGTAGTGTTCACTTTGAAGTGTTGTGTATAGTGTTCACTTTGAAGTGTGTGTGTGTAGTGTTCACTTTGAAGTGTGTGTGTGTAGTGTTCACTTTGAAGTGTTTGTGTATAGTGTTCACTTTGAAGTGTGTGTGTGTAGTGTTCACTTTGAAGTGTTTGTGTATAGTGTTCACTTTGAAGTGTGTGTGTGTAGTGTTCACTTTCAAACGGATTTTGTACTGATTTTGAAGCGTATTTATTGCTCACTTGGAAGCGTGTTGTCTGTCCACTTTGAAACGTGTTTAAAACTCACTTAAGCGTATTTTAAACCGACTTTGGGAGCTTGTTTTATATTCATTTTGAAGCGTGTCATTTTTAGTCCATTTAGAACATTTTTTTGATGTTTCATCTTAGATGTTTGTTTAAAAGTACAATATAAACCTCATCATTGGTTTATTATCAGCTATTTCCTATGTGTTTTGTACCATTTTACATTATATATATAATATATATTATTGTCATGTCAGATTTTTACATTTAACAGTTAAAGTCCAGAGATCTGTGCTCGTTTATTCTCGAGAATTCCCCGTTCATTTATCTTTGTTAGATCCTCGTTCGTTTATCTTCTTGTGATCCTCGTTCATCTTTGTGAGCTTCTCGTTCGTTTATCCTTGAGAGATCATCGTTCGTTTATCTTTCAGGGATTCTCGTTCGTTTAACGTCGACACGTTCTCGTTTACTTAACTTCGAGAAGTCCTCGTTTGTTTATCTTCCAGAGCTCCTCGTTCGTTAATCTTCGGTAACTTTTCGCTCGCGAAACATGAGCTCCGTTTAGAGGGCAGAGTTGCTGGTGGGTTCATCCGAAGCTCTCTCGTGTTTCGAGCGAAAAGTTGTGGGAGCGAATTGTTGACTCTGCAGTATAAATTGGGAGAGTAACGGGATCCCGTACAGTCTGTAGGGTAGCGATCTCTCTCTCTCTCTCTCTCTCTCTCTCTCTTCTCTCTCTCTCTCTCTCTCTCTCTCGTTCGTTCGTTTCCCCCCTTGCTCTTTTTTCTCTCCTATTTAGTACTACATAGTCATACATTTACATCGTAATGTCTTTGTAGTCATTAGCAATGATTAGTAATATAGAAAATACCAGGGAATTACTAGAGTTATCGTTAACAGTGTTTCACGTGTGGTTTCCAACAGTTGACACTTGTTTCGTGGTAATTTTTTCTAGTTTTCTACTTCTAGTATTGTGTTATTGGGAATTTTGTAGTGATTGTTGTTAGTTTATTGGTTTATTTGTGGTGACTGTTGTTAATTTATTGGTTTCTTTGTGGTGACTTGTTAATTTATTGGTTTATTTGTGGTGACTTGTTAATTTATTGGTTTCTTTGTGGTGACTGTTAATTTATTGGTTTCTTTGTGGTGACTGTTGTTAATTTATTGTTTCTTTGTGGTGACTGTTGTTAATTATTGGTTTCTTTGTGGTGACTGTTGTTAATTTATTGGTTTCTTTGTGGTGACTGTTGTTAATTTATTGGTTTCTTTGTGGTGACTGTTGTTAATTTATTGGTTTCTTTGTGGTGACTGTTGTTAATTTATTGGTTTATTTGTGGTGACTGTTGTTAATTTATTGGTTTCTTTGCGGTGACTGTTAATTTATTGTTTCTTTGTGATGACTGTTATTAATTTATTGGTTTCTTTGTGGTGACTGTTGTTAATTTATTGGTTTCTTTGTGGTGACTGTTGTATTTAATTTATTGGTTTATTTGTGTCGTGACTTTGTTAATTTATTGGTTTCTTTGCGGTGACTGTTTAATTTATTGGTTTCTTTGTGATGACTGTTATTATTTATTGGTTTCTTTGTGGTGACTGGTTAATTTATTGGTTTCTTTGTGGTGACTGTTAATTTATTGGTTTCTTTGCGGTGACTGTTAATTTATTGGTTTCTTTGTGATGACTGTTATTAATTTATTGGTTTCTTTGTGGTGACTGTTGTTAATTTATTGGTTTCTTTGTGGTGACTGTTAATTTATTGGTTTCTTTGTAGTAATAATTTAATGGGTTCCTGGTAATTATTACCTGTTTAATAGCGGTTTTATAGTGTTGATCACTGGTTTAGTATCAGTTTTTTTTATCTGTTATCCCTGTCCTCCATTCTCACTTGTGGTCATTTGTAAAAGATTTACTTTCTCTATTTATATTTTTACCTGTAATGTAATTGAATTGCCTCAGTGATAGTTTAATTGAATTGTCTCAGTGATAACGCCTTCGCTCTCTCGAGTTTTGAAAGAAGTTAAAAATCCGATGAATTATTTTTTTTTTGTATTTTCAGTTTCCTCTGACCCTATTAACTGATGGCAATCTAAAGTGAGTTTTTTTTTTGTGCTTAAAACATATGGTTTTCCTTGTGAGTTTAGTTATGGTTCTCTTGGGGGACTGGGCAGAGTTGAGGGCTTGTGTCATCACTTTCTTCTGGAAAACTGACCAGGTCACAGGGGTTATGACCCAGGGAAGTAGCCACAGGTAGATAGATAGGCAGGAGTGTAAGGAGTCCCTCTAGCGTAAGGTAAGGCAGGGGAAGGTGTTTAGAATAAGGGGTGAGTGCTGACTGGAAGATGCAAGGAAGGTGTTATGAGAATGAGAAACAGGCTGTGTTTATGGGAAAGAGAAACAAGGAAAATGTTGGGAGAATGGGAAACATGTATTGTTTATGGGGAAGATAAGCAAGGGAGATGTTTTGAGAATGAGAAACAGGTAGTGTTTATGGGAAAGAGAAGCAAGAAAGGTGTTTAGAGTAAAGTGTAGGTAGGTGGTGGATGGTGACATATAACTTTGGAAAGCAAGGGTAGCAGAGGAAGATACTTAAGATTATGGAAAGGGTATTTAAATGTACAGGTGGTGTAGGAGAGGTAGGTGAGAAAGTTGTACGCACTTAATTGTACTCACCAAGTTCTACATGCATATGTCGACTCCACGACTTTTTATTTGGTGGGTTGAACTCTGTTCAAAAACTGTTAAAAGTACTTCCTACCGTCACTGTGGCTCATCAGTAGTACTTCCTACCGTCACTGTGGTTCATCAGTAGTACTTCCTACCGTCACTGTGGCTCATCAGTAGTACTTCCTACCGTCACTGTGGCTCATCAGTAGTACTTCCTACCGTCACTGTGGCTCATCAGTAGTCACTGTGTTCCCTGGCTCCCTGTTCTCGCATCTCAGACAACCTGTCCCAATTCTCTGTTGCCATTTCTTGATGCGGAAGAGGTGGGTGAGAAATATGTGCCTTTTGCAGATGAAATAGGGAAGCTTAATCAGGGAAAGATAAAAGTCTCCTGATCCACCGGGCGGCTTAGTCTCGGCTGGGTCACTCAGACGAAAACATCCTACAGGTATCCTTCAGGTACGGGGGTCAGTTAATGTGGATATTTCAGGAACGTGAGGAAAGTAGGAAGAGACCAGAAAATATCGCATTAATAATAAAATGTTCAGTGGTATGATACTATGGAGGCTTTATCCTCCTTCCTGGGACTGACTCCTCTACTTCCTAGACAGCAGCTGCCAGTGTGATCGTTCAGTCGCTGTAATTTGTACTAGGAAGAAGACATGAAGCAGGGGAGGGCAGGTGTAGGTGGTACTGGTATGAGAGGCTGAAGGTGGTAGTGAACAGTCATCAGTCTGTGGAACTTTTAATCATTCCCAGAACTTCCTTAATTTAGTATTCTGTTGTGTGTACGGAGTAGGAGGCAGCCAGTGATAAGGAATGTCAGCAACGTTGGTGGCGGTACCGACTGAGAGAGAGAGAGAGAGAGAGAGAGAGAGAGAGAGAGAGCAAGAACAAGAGGAAGTGCAGAAGAGGTAGAGAATAAGAATGAGTATGATAATGAGAAGAGTTGCTGGTAAAGTATGTGCCCAGTATTCTCTACACACAGCACTAGATTTAGAAGCTTGCCTTATTACAGGGTAATGTTCTCTTGGTCTCGTTGTGCCTCCCTTTCTACTCTGCTGCTAAAGCGGAACAATTTAGCAAATGCAGAGAGAGCCTCCCCCTCCCTCCATCGAAATACAATCACCTCTGAACGTTAATCATTTTATCGGAAGTGAACGTCCAAAATTGAGTTGGATTTATCATTATGAACATTAATTGCCACACTATTGTATTTTTTCAGTATTCTAGAAAAAAATAGTGAAAGTCCAAGCACTTTCGTGATTTCTCACAGTATCAAGGAACTGACTATATATATATATACGTATTCCTTTTTTCTGGGGATCGAACTTTGAATTTTCCCGGAAATGTAATCTTTTTTATATTTCCTTGTACCTTGTTTTTAAGAAAGTTTTATTTTTAGAATGACAGTCCTTGATTTTGTTAAAAAAGTTTTGTTTCGTAGAAGTGAATGTATTTGGATGCAATGATTCTCTCTCCATCTCTCTCTCTATTCCACTCTTCTAGTGTCTAATTGTTTTTCTCAGAAAGCTACTTACATTTTCAGAAATGCTGACATCTCCGTTTTTTGTGTTATAGAAATTTTTGGAATATAATTTTGCTGAATATCTCGTATGTCATAATTATGTCTCCACCCTCTCTTCCAGTGTTGTCACACTGAGGTTTTTTCTTCTTATTGCTCGTTTGTATATAATGGTTATCTTGTATGTCAAGACCATGTCTCAGCTCATTAAATATTACACTGAGATCTATTTTATGTGATGAGTACAATAGATATCTTGTATGTCATGAACAAGATCCCTTCTCTTCACTTCTAGTGTTGTGTTGTGTTTGATTCTGCGTGTTACACGTATGTATATGCTGTACGTTTGTGTTGCAGGAGTCGCTGAAGGAGTTGAAGAAGCAGGTGTCACAACACCCATCCATAGTACCGACGGACTTTGACATCAGTCGTGAGGGAAAGTTGATCCTTCACGTCTCCCCAGAAGGTGGACACCAGCTGGAGTTTGCTGTTCACGGTGAACCATCTACCATCACACTACAACCTGCACCAGCTCTCATTACCCAGGTGAGAGAGAGAGAGAGAGAGAGAGAGGGAGATTAGAGAGGTAGGTAACAAGTCTTTGCTTGTTAATAAAGATAGGGAATCTTTACCTAAGCTTGTAAATACCCCAATGTAAATAAAAGAGAGACAATGCCATCCATACAGTGCAATCTACACCAGCACTCATTACCCAAGTGAGAGTGAGAGAGAGTGGTAGGTAACAGCTCTTTGCTTGTAAATAAAGATAAGGAATCTTAACCTGACCCTCTAAAAACCCCACTGTAAATTAAAGAGAGACAGAGAGGGAGGGTTGGGGGTTGGTGGTTTGGATAGAGGTAGGGAGGGAGTATTACTATAGTTGTGAACCCCTCAAGGAAGGTTCCTTGATGTTGGTGAGGGGCTCTTGATTTAGGGAATTGGATCTGTGCTCCAGTTCCCGAATTAAGCCTGAATGCCTTCCACATCCTCCCCCCAGGCGCTGTATAATCCTCCGGGTTTAGCGCTTCCCCCTTGATTATAATAATATAGTTGTGATATTTTCAGAGCACTTTAGGGCGGGATGGATAGGATGAGGGGAAAGATGAAGGAGAGGAGAGAGAAATAGGATGAGAGGAGCGATTTAGAGAAGGAAGGGGAGGAGGAGAATAGAGAGAAGGGTGTGAAGGCAACGAATGAAGTAATTGTAGGAGAGGGGGGGAGGAACGATCCTACAATCGTAATTAGTAAATACAGTTAGTATTGTTATACTTATAATTAAGCGCTCAGCCTGCAGGAACCATTGGGAAATAATCAGGTTCCATCCGTGGAAGAAGAGATTAGCTCCTAATCCTCGGATCAGCATCAATTGAGCCTCCCGGTCCGTAAATGCACTAAATTTAGTCGAAAGGGTATATATATTGCAAACAGTTCAAGTTCGCGTAACAGATCCTATTTATTATTGTCTGGATGTGTGTCAGATCCTCCCTATTACTGCCAGGATGTCTGTCAGATCCTCCTTATTACTGCCAGGATGTCTGTCAGATCCTCCTTATTACTGCTAGGATGTCTGTCAGATCCTCCTTATTACTGCCAGGATGTCTGTCAGATCATCTTTTATTCCTCCCAAGGCTGTCTGTCATATCCTCTTTATACCTACCAAGGCTGTCAGATCCTCTTTATTCCTCCCAAGGCCGTCATATATTTGCCTTCCCCGTGAAATTTGATTTATCCACAATGAAATACCAGCGAAGACTCTGAAATCTAAACTAGATTTAAGATGTTTTTCCTGTTCCTTTAAAAAAAAAAAAAAAAAGGATTTGAAAATTTGAGAGATTTGGAATTGCTACAATGATATTGTTATTCTCTCTGTCTCTCTGTCTCTGTCTCTGTCTCTCTGTCTCTGTCTCTGTCTCTGTCTCTGTCTCTCCTCTCTGTCTCTCTCTGTCCCCTCTCTGCTCTCTCTCCTCTCTACTCTCTCTCTCTCTCTCTCTCTCTCTCTCATTCTCTCTCTCTCTCCTCTCTCTTCTCTCTCTCTCTCTCTCTCTCTCGGGGTCTGTCTGGCTCAAATTGATGGATCACTGGAGCATCGCCCCTGGAGGTTACCTGGAGGTTATTCCGGGGATCAACTCCCCCGCGGCCCGGTCCATGACCAGGCCTCCCGATGGATCAGGGCCTGATCAACTAGGCTGTTAGTGCTGGCCGCACGCAGTCCAACGTACGAGCCACAGCCCGGCTGATCCGGCACTGACTTTAGGTGTCTGTCCAGCTCTCTCTTGAAGGCAGCCAGGTGTTTATTGGCAATTTCCCTAATGCTTGATGGGAGGCTGTTGAACAGTTCTGGGCCCCGGACACTTATGGTGTTTTCCCTTAGTGTACCAGTGGCGCCCCTACTTTTTATTGGGGGCATTTTGCATCGCCTGCCCAGTCTTTTACTTTCGTAGGGAGTGATTTCTGTGTGCAGATTTGGGACCATTCCTTCCAAGATTTTTCAAGTGTAGGTTATGATATATCTCTCCCTCCTGCGTTCCAACGAGTACAAGTCAAGTGCTTCCAAGCGTTCCCAGTAGTTAAGGTGCTTGACAGAACTTATACGTGCAGTAAAGGATCTCTGTACACTCTCTAGATCTGCGATTTCACCTGCTTTGAATGGAGATGTTAATGTACAGCAATATTCCACCCTAGAGAGAACAAGTGATTTGAAAAGGATCATCATTGGCTTGGCATCTCTCGTTTTGAAAGTTCTCATTATCCATCCTATCATTTTCTTTGCACGTGCGATCGTGGCACTGTTGTGATCCTTGAAAGTGAGATCCTCAGACATTACTACTCCCAGGTCCCTTACATTATTTTTCCGCTCTATTGTATGGCCGGAGTCAGTAGTATACTCTGTTCTAGTTATTATCTCCTCCAGTTTTCCATAACGGAGTAGTTGGAATTTGTCCTCATTGAACATCATATTGTTTACCGTTGCCCACTGGAAAACTTTGTTTATATCTTCTTGGAGGTTAACCGCGTCCTCAGCAGATGACAGCCTCATGCAGATCCTAGTATCATCCGCAAAGGATGATACGGTGCTGTGGTGTATATCTCTGTTTATGTGTGATATGAGGATAAGGAATAAGATGGGGGCGAGTACTGTGCCTTGTGGAACAGAGCTCTTCACTATGGCAGCCTCCGATTTAACTCTGTTGACCACTACTCTTTGTGTTCGATTTGTTAGGAAGTTGAAGATCCATCTCCCCACTTTCCCAGTTATTCCTTTAGCACGTATTTTATGGGCTATTACGCCATGATCGCATTTGTCAAATGCTTTTGCAAAGTCTGTGTATATTACATCTGCATTCTGATTTTCTTCCAGTGCATCCAAGGCCATGTCATAGTGATCCAGTAGTTGTGAGAGGCAGGAGCGACCTGCCCTGAACCCATGTTGCCCTGGATTGTGCAGATTTTGGGAATCCAGGTGATTTGCAATCCTGATTCTTAGCACTCTTTCAAAGATTTTTATGATGTGGGACGTCAGAGCTATTGGTCTATAGTTCTTAGCTAATGCTTTGCTGCCATCTTTATGGAGTGGGGCTATATCCGTTGTTTTAAGTGACTGTGGAATTTCACCCATGTCCAAGCTCCTCCTCCATAGTGTACTTAGGGCACGCGAGAGGGGTTTCTTGGAGTTCTTAATGAAAACAGAGTTCCCCGAGTCTGGGCCCGGGGCTGAATGCATAAGCATGTTGTCAGTGGTTTTTTCGAAATCTATCGGAGTTAGGGTACTGTCGGAAATCTGGCATACATTTATGGAGTTTTGAGGCTCATTCATGAAGAAATCATTTGGGTCGTCGATCCTCAGACCGATTAGTTGTTCACTAAACACAGAGTCGTACTGGGATTTCAATATTTCACTGATTTCCTTGTCAACTGTGTAAGTCCCATCCTGTCTGAGTAAGGGCCCAATACTAGATGTGGTATTTGCCTTGTTTTTGGCATATGAAAAGAAATATTTTGAATTTCTTTCAATTTCACTAATAGCTTTAAGCTCCTCCTGCCTCTCCTGGTTCCTGTAAGTCATTTAACTTAAGTTCGACAGTTTCCACTTCCCTGGTCAGCGCCTCCTTTCGTGTATCAGATATTCTAGCACTCCTGAGGAGCTCAGTGACTCTTCGTCGTCTTCTGAATAGGGAGCGTCTTTCTCCAGTTTACTCCTGCTCTTCTTCTTTCTTAGGGGAATATGCCTAGAACATGCTTCGGCTGCCAGGAAGTTGATCCTTTCAAGGCACTGGTTTGGATCCATGTCATTTAAGACATCTTCCCAGCATGTTTCGTTTAGGACAAGGTTTACCTCGTCCCAGTTGATGTTCTTGTTGTTGAAGTTGTATTTTGTGAAGACACCTTCACAGGTACATGCATTCTGCTGATCAGGACCCATATGCATGTACGTCTGGACTTCGATTAGGTTGTGATCGGAATTAGTTGTTTTTTATATTCTTATGTCTCTTATCAGGTCCTCATTATTTGTGAAGATAAGGTCAAGTGTGTTTTTTAGTCGTGTTGGCTCCACTATCTGCTGGCTTAAGGTGTGTTTTTCGCAGAGACTTAGTAGCTCATGTGTGTGTGACCTTTCATCTGCGCTACCTCCGGGGATTGTTTCAGCTATAACATTATTTGCTACATTCTTCCATTTTGTATGCCTTAGGTTGAAATCACCAAGCAGTAAGATGTTTGGGGATGGAGCTGGAAGGTTTTCCAAACAGTAATCAATTTTCAGTAGCTGTTTCCTTGAAACTGTTGTGAGGGTTTGCATCTGGTGGCTTGTATACAACCACAATGACTAGGTTTTGGTTCTCGATCTTTATTGATAGAACTTCAACTACCTCATTTGTGGTGTTCAGCAATTGCGTGCAGAAAAGGGACTCTGACATACAGGCCAATTCCCCCTTGTTTCCTGTTTTTTCTGTCGCATCTAAAAAGGTTGTAACCACTTATCCATATTTCACTGTCAAAGTGATCTTTTGTGTGAGTCTCTGTGAAGGCTGCAAACATTGCATTAAACTCCTCCAGAAGTCCACTGATAAAAGGTATTTTGTTGTTGGTGGATGGCTTAAGGCCCTGTATATTAGCAAATATGAACGCGGTTGTATTCTGTGTTTGTTGGGGGGATTTTGTTATTGGCATCAGTAGTTGTAATTCTGGAGGGCCATGGGTGGCCACTGGCTGCGCCTCCAGCCCCTGCTTCCCGGTCTCAGGGTAGGCCCTGTTTAGCTTCTGGAAGGTCTGTCTGTTGGCGCTCGCTGCTTGTATACCGATGTATGAATTGCAGCCTGTCGGATTGTAAATGATTTGGAAAAAAATGTCACTGGTGGCGT